TCAATTAATACTTTGACATTTTGGGAAACGTGCTTCTTTTCTTTCTGAACAGAGAGTTTGACTGGAAGATTGATCAAGTCTGGACGTTAAATATGAAGCTGTAGCCAACAACTGGTTAGCTTTGCGTAGCATACAGACTGGAAGCAGCCTGGCTCTGTTCAAAGTTCAGAAAACTGTCTGCCAACATGTCGAAACTGGACTTTTGTTTGAGCTGAGAGTTAGTTGAGCAGATTGATTCCACTCTCATGTTTGTTCACTAGCTGGCTAGCTTACCTTATGTTGTTTTCACACTTTGATTTTTGACAGATTAAACAAACAAGATAAACTAGTTTTGCAATTTTGATTGGTTGATTTTTCATCTTCGACAGAGCTAACGGTCTCCTAGCTGTTTCCAGTCTTACACTAAGCTAAGCTAAGCTAAGCTAACTGACTGCTTGTTGTAGCTTCATATATTTAATGTACAAACCTGACAACACATGACTCATAAGCGTAGTTCCCAAACCGTGAAACTATTTCTTTAAAGGGTACATCAAAATGCGTACACTTTCACTATATGCAGCAAGTAAGTCATTTGAGACAGTATCTGAAGGTTTTTCTTTATTTGCCTTCTGAGCTCACACATACAAAGCCATGTTTGAACTGAATGTTCTCTTTCTGCACATTTAAAACTAGTCCTGCTTCATCATAATACACACAAACAGTTGTCAGTGTCAAACACTGAGTTTATATAATGGCAAAGTAACTCAACACACCACACAAAGCACTTGCAATATGTAACTGCTCTGTCACAAACAGTATACTCCTATCGCACCAATGATGTTTTGTTATAGTCTTTTACACAATATTATCAAATGAATTCTATGAATATATGATGATTTTTCTACAAGAAGAATCGATGCACACTGACTGTTAACTCCTGTACCAGTTTTTTTTTTCTTTTCTTTTCTTACCCGATCTCTGTGTGTAGAAACTGCCATCGTTCTTGTTGTAAATGGTGTTTACTGACAAATTGCGTTCTGGTGCTGTTGTTGTTTGACTCGGTGTACAGTTTAGACCTCCTCCAGAGTGATCTGTGCGACTGGAACACTCTGGAGGCATCTGGTTATAACTGAATAAAGATTTTTTGGCAGCTGTTTGTTAGCTGCTGTCACTGTGTCTTTTCTCATCTCCGCTGAGTGCAAAGAACAAGGCTGTCATAACATTTAGTGTCAAAACAAACACACAAAAGTTACTCAAATTACGAGCATGATGAGTTACTGTCCCCAGCGATGGAATGTAACTAAGTACATTTATGCAAGTGAAGTATCTAAGGACAATTTCAATTTACTTGTGTTTTAGTTTCTAAATTTTCTGCTAGTCTAAACTTCTTCATTACATTTCTGAGGCAAATGTACATTTTACTGCATTAAATTGACATAACAGTGACACAGATTCAGATTTGAAATTAAAAATTGGCAAGTAGATAAAATATGAATCATTGTAACATATTAAACTACACAACCATGTATAAAGAGGTATATTATGTTTTTATGACTTCTACTACTTCTTTTATGCCTTACTATATTATGATGTTTTTTTTTTGTTTTTTTTACATTTTTATACCTTACTATACTATAGTTTTTTATGCCTTACTATACTATGATTTTTAATGCCTTGTTAAACTATGAAGTTTTTATGCTTTACTATATTATGACATTTACATGCCTTACTATACTATGACCTTTTTATGCCTTAGGCCCACTATACTTAAGCAATATTACACGAGGGAGTGTTGTACTGAATATCAGCACGGCTGTGATTCAGTCATAGATGACCACAGCCGTGTTGATATTCAGTACAACATTGCACAACCTCGAGTGTGATATTACTTTTATACAAGCCTACTTCTACAAGCGCCATATTAGTTGAATAAGCAACAACAGATGCGATATGATTTATTTGTTCACTTTGTCATTTATTTGGCAACATCAACACAAACAGTTCCGCAACTGGACCGTTGCTAGCAACCATGGATGTATGCTAGCAACACATGAAAATTGTCCTGACCTGCACAGTGCACACTAACTTGCTACTTTGTCTGTTACTTCAGGTGTGCGCTGAAGTATGCAGGTTTCTTCTCTTCATCCTCTTCTGACGACCATTCATCATTTAATTGTTGTGTAAATGTTGTTTCTGGAAAAATATATTCATCTATGCAACGTTTTACAATCTAAGATAGTTACACGTAGTTAAAAGTCCCAGTGCTCTTGTATTCTGTATCAGCACTCATGGAAAACCCCTCGTCAAATCAGATGACATTTTTCATACCTTATTATACTAAGACGTTTTAATGCCTTACGATAAAAATACGTTTTTTTTTGTTTTTTTTTGCCGTTTTTGTTTTTTTTTTTTTTGCCGTTTTTGTTATGTTTTTATGCCTTACTATACTATGACGATTTTAAGCCTTATACTATGACATACCATACTATGACATTATGACTTTTGTAGTAAATATCCAGTCAGAGATTACATAAATAAATAAAGATAATAATAATAATAATAGTAATAATAATAATAACAATGCAAAGAGCAAAGATAACACAACATAACAGAAATTCCTCATGTGAAATGACCCAAACTGTTTAAACTCTGGCAGAAAATGTTATGTTTATGTTGGAACCGTCACACCGTCAGGAACTGCACTTTTAGCTCCTCTTGGAAGGCAGCTTCTCCAGATATCTATTAAGTATAATAGCTGCCAGCTCTTAACTATGAGTCACTTCAGCCTTGATACTGAGAGAAATATAGTCATCATGTGCAGCTTGTATTCTTGGCTGCCCTCTTGTGTTCAAACTAGACAGTGCAGTTGAGGGAGGTTTAGTTTTGCCCTCAACCAGTTGCAGTTTTAACCACAGTCATTCAGTATAATCCCCTTTTTAAATACCCTGAAGGGTAATTTCCATATTAAACACACTGACACACTGAAAAATGCCACATCTTTCCATATCATAAACTACACAGTGGTATGTTGCACCTGAGGAACTCCCCTTGCAGTAAAAAAAATAACTGCCATTTTCCCCCCCTAACACAAACACAAAGACAGATAACACGGAGTCAGGTTACTTCAGAGGTATTTTTAATTAGATCCTAAATCCACTATTCGAAATAAGAACCCAACAAATAAGTGTGTATGTGTGTGTTATGTGTATGACTAATTACAAATAAAATCCCTATGGCTGAGATAAAAAGCCATAATGAAGTTTCTCAGTGATCTGGGTCATGGCTGGAAAGTGACATTACATGAGGACATGAGATACTGTATTACTGTTGAAACCCCACTGCTGCAAACAAAACATTGACGATTTGCTTCACTAATGGTTAACAAGACTGCTGTTGAGAGAGCTGATCCACATTCATGTTTAGCCAGTCGTCCACCAGCAGGGGAAGACTTGTACCAGGCCGATCATGCCCCAGCAGAGAGGAATGTCCCCCGTTTGGCTCTGTTTGACCTTCAAGTTTTATTTAACATCCATCAGTAGCCCCGTGCAACTAGACTAGTGTGTGGTGAGAGTAACTGTTCAGTAGTTTTATAGTGTCTCGGATATAATTGTATGAAGCAACATGAGATTGTAATGCCAGCTCAAGAAAATTGTGATTGATAGTAACATTGATATTACCTCATTCATACATTTAACATTTAGAAAAGGGGTTTGGTCTCTATGAAAGCAGCTTTTCCAGCAAATACTGTATATAATCCTGCGGTTTGCCAAGACTCTATCAAAAGAAGCAGATTTTGATCATTTTATGCAATATCCCAGAAACTTCTTAAAACAGTTTAACAGGGGAAAAAAGAAAAAAACTTGTATATTATTTGGTGTAAACTACTGTACTATATTATTATCCTGTATCAGTGTACAGAGTAACATCCAGTGGAGTATTCTCTTGGCCTTGGGGGAGGCTAGGTGTTAGCTCCCTCACAGAAACAATGGACAAGTGTTTAAATATTGATACTGGCTCAGGAAGAGACACATTTATTTCACTCTCACCTCGGGTCAAGGCTGAACCTTGACTGTGTGTTTGCGCTGCCTCTGTTCTCATGATCTTGGCTGTTTTCCTGTTAACTAAGTGTGGAGATTATTTTCTGTCAGGGTCTTAACAGGGGAAAAACGGGATGCTTTTTATTCTGAAATGCTTGTATTTTGAAGTCTGTTGGGAGCTCAGTAGTAGTTCAATACTGTGGGTTACATTTCACATATTGTTGTACTTATATGACACAAAAAGGCATACATTTATAATCTGAACACAGTGTTAGACTACTTTATGATTGTGTGGTGTCCTAAAATTAATACAGTTAAGAAAATGGAAGTCTTGATGGCCCCACAAAAGTAACCATAGTAAACCAAGAATAGCCCCAAAATGGTGGCACAAAACAAGGGCTTATAATAAAATCCAACATATAATAATAAAGGGCCATGCAGAAGCAATAAGCCAACAACTGCAAAGTAAAGTTTTTAAGAGTAAATCCTTCTCTAATCAAGTTTGTAAGTGTAATTCCTTCTATATTTGTGCGGTTTTCTAGACTCAAACAAACAAAATGTGAAAATGTGTTACTTAGATATAAAGAAAAAAAAATAGGAGAACATTTGGCATCTGAGTTTTTCTGGTTAGACAAAGGCGGAAAATAAGGAGTGAAGGAGGAAAATGAAAAGGAGAAAATGAAAGTCATACAGCATGGAGGATTTCTCCCACAGTGAGCCAGAATGGACTCAAAAATATACGACTGGCACGAGACCACATGCCTGCACCCATCCCAAGCTTTCCAGTTAACTAGTGAGCACACGTGTCAGACAAAAAGACCAGACAATTAGATCACAAAGACTGGGGTAAGTCATTTGTTTCCAATAAAAGGAGACTGGCACAAGGAGTTTAAGGGGTGAGAATTGATGGTCCAGAGGTTAGGGAGTCAAGTGAGGAGGGGTGGGGTGGGTGGAGGGGTTGGGGTGGGCGGGGGTGGGGGGGGGTGCGGTAGGTAGGTCTCAGTGCATCAGTGTCTCCTGGGTGGGCAAGTCTTCTGGCTGACTGAGCAAAGACTCAGTGGTTTGGCTGCTGGGTTCCTGGTCACCGGGGTCACTGGTGGACGCTGCTGGAGTCATCTTGGTCTGAAGGAAAGGAAAAAGAAAACAGGAGGAAAAATAATAGTTATTTATAGTTATCGTTGGTCTCGCCACGTGTGGCCACAGTGATTGCTGTTCAACAAAAGTTATAAAATCCTGCCTCATATGTTGCTTAAAAATCAATTCAAAAATCCCTATTTTCACTGACAACCATCTGTGACCTCTGGGAATATTTGATAAAGCTATGAATAGAAATATTATATATGGACCAACACATATATATATATATATATATATATATATATATAAATACTCATTGAAAGGGAGCTGTTTATAATCTGTTACCTTCAAAGTCTCCACTTTCTCCTCAAATGACTTGAAAGTTGGTGCGTTCCTGTGAAAGGCAAGAGAGAAAGACATAAAAGAGTAGGTGACAAGATCACAGATAGAGCAACACCGACTGAATTTATCAGACACGCTTGCACAAAAGTTTTGGAAAGTTAAGAGGTCATGTTATCTGATACTCGGCACAGACAATGCAGGATTTTCTAAACTGACCCCATTCCATTATGTTCTATTGACAAGGTGCTAAAAAGGTGTTGATTTCATAAAAACAGAATCAAGAGAAAGCAGAATGAAAAGGATGAGAGGAGAAAACAGTCAACATATTTCCCCCACGATCAGTTTTCAGCATCTTGAGAAGTTGCGTTTGATTCATGCTACTTCACTTCGAAAAATCCATATTTCCAAAGAACAGAGCCTTTTTGGTTCCTCAGAAACACAGATAGATATTCACATTTTGTGATATTTCTGTTGGACAATAATTCACTGGTTTGCACGAATTTCATGCTTCGAAGGGATAATCTCAAATAGAGCAGAAACATTTTTCAGAAACTATTTTTATTGTTTATTTTTAAGTATTTTTTTAACTATCGAATATGACATTTATCTACGATATCATTGTATTTGATCTTTTTTTTTAAGACCATACATCTAATTATGTAATTAATCAGAAGATTAATCGATAATGAAGATAATCAGTCATTGCCGCTCTAATCTCTCACAAGACCTATACCTCATCAAAATTACTAAAATCCAGAGAAATTAAGATGAAAAAGTCAGTGGTGTGCAGTCACACTTCAAACCAGTAAAGTTTGCTGGGCAGAAAACAAACCCGAGCAGCTAATAATCAATGGCGACATTTATCTCAGTATTTTCGACAAGATTTTTGCAAGACCTGACAAAACTACTGTTTGACTCTGAAGGATTATTAAAGCTGCAGCTTCACTGATAGCTGATAAAGTGGCTCATAGAAGTCATCGTTGTTGGTGTCCTCAAGCTACACACTTAGACCTTTTTTATGCAAAACACGTGTTATTCTACAACATGAAAATACAGAGCTGAAGGTAAACAACTTTTACTTTTCTACAAGAAGCAAACAGATATTGTGCAGCTTTTGCCTCTTTCATGTTTGATTCAACATGTGTGTAACTTGTGTGCTGTGCCAGTCACATTAACACAAACTAGCTTTGGTCTCCTTACCTCATAGCAGGCATACTAGCTGAGTGTTGTAATGAGCGCATGCTATCCGACAGCATTATGGAAAAGAAAGGGGGCATTAGTGGTGGTCTTAGCATAGTAAAGACAGTTTTACACAGAACAAACCAGAGACGGAAACACATTTGTAGGCACAACAAACAGTACAAACCCTCATTTATTCTGTTATATGGTAAAAGAGCAAGTATTCTACCAAGTGTATAAATCCTATAAATCCCGCTTTATCCTATTAAGATCGATTGTGTATTAACACAGTGGGTATGTGCTAATCCTTTGTATTATGGGGGAATATCTTGTCATCGAACAAACACACACACACATAACAACCACAGTACATGTACATACACATAAGCACACACTACCCCTTTGACCCCTGTCAGGACCCCCCCACACCCCCCTCAACCAGCTCTGTGTTGTAGCTCATCTGTGAGGCTGCATTTCTCAGCACACTGCAGCTTTCAGGGGCCTAATAATCTTGTTTGCAGCTCAGTAATCCAGAGAGAGGAAGGATGACAGGGGAGAAGACAGATTATGATCTTGGGGGGGGGGGGGGGTTGGGTTAGTTTTAAAGCCTAGTTATACCAGGAAATATTAACACATTATTGTGTTGTTACATATTACATGTCCTTGGCACTGTGAAGCTGAATAACAATTCAGTAGATGTATGGCTTTCAACATATATGCATTCTTTTAATTAGAAGAAGATAATAGAGAAAGCTGATGGCTGTGAAATGTAATGTCATGAAGATGAACAATTAAATCCTAATTTTTTTGGCATTTCAAAAATGTCAAACTATTCCTTTAATTTCAAAGTTGGGCATCTGAATCCTATTAAAATGAGTATTGTTAAGTGTTTAGTGTTATCAAATTATCTCTGAACAAAGCCAAATACAAAGTTGATGGCACAGACAGGAATGCTGCGGGTTAAAAAAAACAGGCAAGAAAGAGTTATATTATATAGCTACATGTGAGTGAAAGAAAAAAATGTCATGTCCTTTAGCATACGCTGTTACATCAACCTGTTCATGTCTTTCCTAGACGATATGATCATGCCACATCTGAGAAGCTGTGTGGAAAAAGCAATTTTTGAGCAATTTTTAGGAAATAAATCACTGGTTGCTTCTTAATTGAGCTGCAAAATCATGAACGGATGAACAATGGATACTTTCCTTTCTCAGAGATTCAGTGCTTCAAAGAAACATGATTTTTAAAGTTACTGGATATGTAGTCCCATTAATGTCTCCTCTCAGACTCACCTAACATCCTCGAGCTTCCGGCTGATGGCGGAGCCCACATTGGAAAAAGCTGCCGTGGCCTTCAGACTCGCCTGAGAGAGCGTTTCAGATGTCCTCTTATAGCTGAAAGAGAGAAGGGGAGACAGAGAGAATGAGGGAGAAGGGACGGGCAGGAAAAAGAGAGGATATGAGAGTGATGAAAAGAGACTGAGAGATCAAAGACTGGAGACAGGCATCAAGGTCAGAGCTAAATCTTTGTGTCGTTTTCATTTTAAAAACCCTGAGAGCATCAGAATGCTGCTCATTTCCTGTAGTGTAAATCCAGTACGAGTTTCACCCAGGCCACAGACAGCCTGTCAGACGCACTGACATCTTTTTCGTCGGTGTTCAGATGAGAAAGTACCTTCTCAACGCTGCTGACAGTTAACCATGTTTTCAGGGCATTCAGACGCAGAAACAATCTCATTATCAAACTGTGGTGGGCGAGTACTTACGCGGTGGAGGTGGTGACCTCCTGCCAGGTTTTGGTGATGTTCTGCTTCAACTCATTGAGAGGTGTGATGCCCAGCTTCCTCTTAATGTCTGCCAACTCCTTCTCCTTGGCCGCCAGCACCTGGGTCAGAGTTCGGATCTCATCCTCTACCTGGACACACACAGATACGCACACACATAAAACTATAACTCGTCATATTTGAAGTTTTGAATGTACATCAACCCCTTTTTCTCAGTTAAAGGATAAATCTGGGGCTATTCTATATTCTTCTTCGATCCCATACACCCTGTCCAGCTGCTATAAGCACTACCTAACACATGAAATCTCAACCATCTGCCCAAACAGCACAATTTTCTCCTGTTTGAGTAGTGCTGGTTAAAACTTAAGTGCTAAGCTGATTTAGGAAATTAATTTGCCTATATATATATAACTATATATTTGTTACCCACACGGACTAATGCATTGCAGATTTGAGTGTTTTCATGGGATTTGTTGACATGAAGTATAATATACAATAACCTGTCTGCCTTATCCTTCAACAAATCTCAACACCTGAAACAAGCTAAATGGTTGGATCATATATGGGAAGCCACAAAATGTAAAAAGCAAAACTGTATGTCAGCTTAGCCTTGTTTGAATTGAAAAGTCCCCCAAGGCCCCGCAGAAAAACTGCAATTCAAGTGATGCACATATACTGTAGTAATAATTCTAACCATTCTCCACTATATACAAGGAAAGCTCTGTCCAAGTACAATCAGTCATGTCCAACACCTGATCTTGACTCTTTGAACCATGGCTTGTTTAATCCCTGATCCCTCCTGACCTTGACCAACTCTTCCTGCAGCTCCTGCCGCTCTTCCTCTGTCATGGCAGGTGGAGGGGGGGAGGGACCGACGGACGTCACTGCATCTTCTCCCACCTCCGGGACTGAGTCCGGATGCTGCTGGAAACCTGGGAGGTAAAGTAAGAAAGATTTTAGATTCATCCATGCTTTTAACTTGGCAAGTCATGTGTATGTTTTTGAGTGTCTGAAGTGATATTTTTTTTAAATGACATGTTCACATGTAGGTGCCCATGTTTGCTGTGTGACAGCGAGGCTGATGTTGGTCGTCAAACTCAAGCTGTCTTCCTCTGGAGGATGAGGATGAAGAAATGCTGGTAGAAGCTGAATATGTTGAAGATATCAGCCAGTAAGACCAAAAAAAAAAATTAAGGATGATAAAATGAAGCTTTTCATGATCCAAAACACAAGCTTTCATTCTTAATGAGCAGCTGAATAAACACCATCTCCCTCTCACACACATGGTCATATTTTCACTTCACACACATTTACAGTATGCAGTGTACACACTTGTCTTTGATGTTGCCATCTCTGACAGAGCTGTGCCCAGTAGGAGCAGCAGTGCATCAATAATACAAAGAACTTTCTAGATGGAGACATCCTGGGCTCAGACAGCATGAGAACACAAGAGCAGAGGGGTTGTTAGGATCTGTCAGTCAAAAGGACAGCAGCGGGTGAGGATGTTTTGAGCTGGAATCAGGAGCCCCCCCCCCCCCCCCCCCCCCCCCGTCTCTGAGGTAATTTTTCTTTTTATCTAGTGTTTCCTTGTATTTCAAGGAGTAAAAGTCAAAATATAGAAACAAAGACAAAAACAGGAGAGTACTTAAAAAAAAGGAAAAAGAGAAACCCCAGGAGCTGAATAAAACAATAAAAGAGGAGGGAGACAAAAAAGGAACTGGTGGCGAATACGTTTCTGGCGTATACTGTGCTTTTATCTCAGCAGGAAAGGAAGCAGAACTATGATGTAAATTGAGAAGAGAGACAAAACAGAACAGAAAGCAGAGTTTATGAAATCATAGGCCTTGTAAAAGCCATTGAAATGCTGGTGTGATCGTAAAAAAAAAAAGTTACTAACCTCAGCCATAAAAATAGTATAACTACTACTGGGCCTGCTAGCAGTTTGTTAAGAAACATTTCGAATATGCACAGAATGTCCAAAAATATGCATAGCATTTTTATCACTGACAGCATAGAACTACAGCTTCATAGATTCCTCCTGGCCACATAGTTTCTTCCTGCTCACATAGTCAGAAACACCAAAGTAGGCATTTACAAACATTAAAGTAATTGACTGAAACTATGTTTCCACCACATCATTCCCAAGTATGCAACAGTAAGTCAACACCAGGGTTGAAAAGTCCTTTGCACATGTAGCCACACCCAGCAGTGATGTCACGGTGTACTGACACACCCTGTAGTACACTTCTACATCAATGCAAGTTCAACTTGGAGGTTAGCTGAAACAAAAATATTAGCTGGTGCTAAGGTGTTCTTTAGAGATCCATACTGTATTTCACCTGTATAACTTAATGTATGTATTTGTTTTTTTTCATGTTGAGGATGTTTTAACATAATTTGATCAAAGGAAAGGCCACTTGAAATCTATTCTGATACAAACCCCATATCCTCTCCTCCCACCTCATTCCACACACTAGGAACCCATCCTTTCTTCCATGTCACACACCAGTACTTCCAGTACTTTAAAAACATTTTAGCTGAGACAGATGTTGGTGAGGGCAGAGATACAAAAATTACAAGAACCTAGCGATATACACTCCCACGAAGACTACACTGGAATTTCCGCACAACTGTCTGGAGAGCTGCTGATGAATGTTTCTCAGCCTTCCAATCACATAGTTTTATCATAAGCTGAGAGCTGGACTGTGCCAATACTACTAAATAATTTTACAGAGGAAATAGAGGTGGGCATTACAGTAATTTAGGTGAGAAGAAATACAGAGGAAATTCTCTTTTCAGACCTCAGCCCTAAAACCACCCCCACAGTTGAAGTGTTAGACTTCATCTGCCCTCAAGCACTTTTCGCCTCATCTATCTCTCTGTCTTGTCTTACATTTGCCTTCTCTTCCAATTACTGGTGACACAGCAGTGCCGCATGATCACACGCACACACAAACACACACACACAAACACACACACACACACACACACACACACACACACACACACACACACACACACACACACACACACACACACACACTATACAGGCACACCTGCTTACAGAGAAAGAATTGTGTAATGGACACTTACCCTTATAATGGCTGTGCCTCTGTCATTAAAAGGTCTTATCTCCCTCCATATGAAACAGAACTACATTCTTTTATTTTGACGATCTATATTATGCTGCTCAGGGACTGAGTTTCTATGTGATAAGCTTCAAACAAAGGATTTTGTAAATACAGTGAAAGTCGAACACCGCCTGGGGGTGAGAAGAACAGGTTGTCTGCTGTGTAAAATTCTGTATTACATAGCTCCAGGCAGTGATGTGAGATCTGTATGTCTGAGTGTGGATGTTGCTCTGCATGAGTTAATGTATGCCTTGAAGCTGAGTTTCCATCACTACGTGTTCAGAGCGAGGGAGAAAAAAAACAAAGGGAGAGAGAAAGAGAGAAGTTTGGCTTGCTGCACCAAACTGAATATCCACCCACATTACTGCCCTTCCCCTCTGATTGAGCTCATTTCCTTTTAACATGTTCTACCCCATGACAACCTAAGCCTCTGTAGTTGTCAAATCTATCACAACTTAGAGAAGCAAGGTTTAAATCTGAAGCATGCCTGAAAAGAACAGCATTTTAAAAGACCTGCCAAACTGCCAGCACATAATTATTTGTTTTTGTGACAAGTCACTAGAAACGCCCTGCTTTTGTTAAGGTCCACTGAACTAAGGTAGCCTAATCATTTGGTAACTGCATTACAGTTACTGCTTTGTTATTGTGACTAAGCCTGGTTTGTTATCTATAAGCAGCAGAAAGAAATGTGGACTTGATAGATTAATTTCTTTAGTCTGGAAGCTGATATAAATTGTGTGGGTATAATACAATCACATTACATTGTTATATGTGTAAAAATACAAAATATAGACATATGCATAATCTGATCTACATTGAACATCCACACAACACAGCTAAAAAATTAAAGCTTTTTCATTTTCTGATGCGGCCTGGCAGACACTTCAAAGGCTACAAAGCACTCTGCACAAACAGAAAGTCACACTGGAATTGTTACGAAGACATTTCTGGATCTCTTCAATCCAAATGATAATGACATTAAGTTTCTTCTGATGTGCTGTTCTAAGTTTTATTATTGGATCAAACTTTGTTTGTGAGACAAAAGCGCAAGAGCTGAGACAGTCTGACGGAGAAACTCCACCATGGTCTAACATGTGATCCTGAGATACTGTACAGTATAATCATAAATAATAATATCTGGACTTATTCAACAGATCATAATGTGACAGAAATGTGAAGGTGGCTGAAATAGATGTGAAGAGTTTCAATGAAATTACAAAGTGGATATTATGTGGTCACTAATTTTTGAGAATGCATAAACAACATAGTACAGAGCAGTATGAGCTTTAGTGCAATCTATAAACATGTCACTCAACTCTCCTCCAGTTCACCATGATTTATTCACCAAATGTTTTTGCCTATCTTTTTATCCATAAATATTAGGACATTAAAGACACTGAAGTATACCATGTTTTAAAAACTGAGTAAGAACCCCCTGATAAAGGCAAGACAGCCAAAAACATTTGGTGAGTAAAGCAATAAATCAATTAAATAATCACAATAAAGCCATAGCAAGACATCGAATCTCATTTACTGGTACGATCATTTTCTAAATAACAAAAAATAGACTAGAAGTCTGAAAACTAAATGAAAGTAAACTGAAAATTGGCAAAAGTTCCTGTCACACACCACCACCAATTATCACTTGTTCCCTCCCCCTTCCAGTTTGTGCTCCCCCAAATTCTTCCCGTCCAATGAACCAAACCCATGTTTTGTCTAGCGCGCGCGCATGCTCGCGCTCACATGCTCGCGCTCACATGCTCGCGCTCACTCACTCACACACACACACACACACACACACACACACACACAACCCAGCTTTTCCCTTTCCTCCTTGTGATACCTCTGGTTTTGACAGCTGGCGAGCTGGGTGGCGTGTCACTGTAGGCCGGGGAGAGGTAGAGGTAGCTGGTGTTGACTCCTTGTTCAAAGTCAAACGGAGAGTGGTATTCCTCCAGAGGCTCCATGTTGACAGCTTGTCGTGTGCTGCTGGTCAGAGCGACTACCACCTCCCTGCCACCACCACTACCTAAGTAAAACCAGCCAAGTGCTGATTGTCTGCATGTGATCCAGGCGCGTGCTGGCCGTCTGCGTCTCCTTGTTTACAGCGCCCTGGAGTCTTGTGTGACAGCAACACACTCAATGACCAAGTGCGTGTATGAACGTGGGAGGAGGTTTTGTATCGGCTTTCAGGTGGTCAGAAGGTCAGAGTGAGCCAGTTTTCTATTTTCCATTTCTGCAGCAGGCCAAGGCGCTGTAAACCCTCTGCTCCTTTCTTGCTGTTAATAAGTTACCTGTCCCTTCAAGCAGCTGTTGCAGCAGGTACACACACTGTTGCTACACACACACTCCCATCTTCCTCTCCACTGTAATCCCAAAGTACAATTTTCAGTTTATCTTTCAAACATCCATTTGCGTAATCAGTGCCGTTCTCAGATGCTAGCCACTGTTAGCAGAGCTAGTGCTGCAGTGATATTGCGTGATAGTCCAGTTTCAATACTCTCAGGTCTCTCTGTCAATTCCCTCCCTCCCTCACTCAATTTCCGTCACCAAGTCTGTCATCCAAGTAGGAAATAAAAGAGGTCCCATTTGTGTGGGCTGGTCACATGATGTATGCGTGTGGGGGGGGGGGGGGGGGGGGGGGCATTAGATGGAAAGCATAATCTGCAGTGTCCCAGATTACGGCAAAGCGCTAATCCAGAGAGGCCAGTCCATCTTGGAGCAGCAGTAATGCTAGTCAGATAGAATGGAGGGGAGAGGATGCCAGAGGCTACACTTGCTATTGTGTATTAGAGGGAAAGTGCTCTATGTGGTAAAAAGAACATGTGCACGTGGCACTGTGTGTGTTTGCGTGTTCATAGTTGGGCTGCAACTAATGATTATTTTCTTCATCAATCAGTCAGATATCTATTTTGTTGAGTAATCAATCCATATATACAATGTCATTAAAAAAATCCCATTACAGTTTCTAAAACAAAAAGAGATCTATTCAAATTGGTAATATTCAAATCTGTACTAAAATAACCACCCACAAACTACAGTAGTAGCATGAAAGAAGTAGATGCAATAATAATATGCATAATAATGCATTCAATATCATAACTGATCTCAGAACTGGGGAAGCTGAGTCAAGGGCAGTTTGACAAACACACTTGTGTGTAGCTATTCACCCATGAAAGATCCCAGGATTATCCACAATGCACATGCGCAAACATCCGATATATGCAGCTCCTCCCTGCTTGATAAAGCAGAATCTTTGTCAATGGGACACAGCCATGTCCACAAAAATAAACTGAAACTGTAGATACAAATAATAATTGACTATTTTTAGTTTTAAAAGTTCAAATACTTGCCTTGCTTGTCCTGACAGCATGCCACTGGTTTAATGTAATAAGAGACAATGAAAACTAACAAATATATAGTTTTGACATTATCATCACAGCACAAGGACACAGATTTACTCAGATGTAAGCTTTTAAAAGGTAGATTCTTGATCTATATATGAAATGCAGTAGTTCTCATGACATGTCACATTAAAGTGCTTAAAGGAAAGGAATGAGGCTGGAATTCAAACTTCACAAAGTAAGAGAATGAATATAAGAATAAGTCCTGCCACATTTCATTCAAAGACATTTCTAGAGTGTCAATAGATAGCAGCATGCCAATGTGTGCAAGCACCTGCTGATACTCTCAAGGCTGCAGTGAAATGGGAAAGCAGCCTGGTGATATTCCCGCAGTAATTTTATGACTCAATGTCCTCAAAGAGCTTGAGAGCTTTGAAGGAGAAGATAGAAAAGAGAAATCGGGTTACTATTACGAGTAAGAGAACCACTGAAATTCAGATGTTAAATTGTCCTACGATAATGTGACACCTAAAGAGAGAGTCAAGCCAGAAACAAGACACAGAGTTTGCTCTGGTGACAAATGACCACTGGAAATGAAGTGGTAAGGATGAGAAAGTCATCATAGAAAACACCCACAAATTCACTGTCCACAAACTCAATATTCATAGTCAATGTACAGCAATTTTTTGACCTGCAGGGTCAGACTATGGCCTTCACTCTACATTGCTAAACATGCAGCTAATCCTCACAAATATTGATTCAAATGTCAAAAGAAAAACAAAAAGAGTACATCAGTACACGACACGCCAGTAAAAAAATATTCACAACTAATAAGTCCATTTTAAAACTAATGTCGATGGACCGTGTTCTGTACACTGAGTTCAGGCCTCCTCAGCCAACATTCCTCTGTTGTTTGGAGCCAGACGAGAATGTTTATGCGATCTTCTCTAGGAAATACCTAGCACTAAAAGAGGCAGATAGCACACTATCCTGGAAGTATTGAAGCACAGTAGGAAAGATTCCACAACCACCCATGTCAAAGGGAAGAGAATAGAGATTTCATCTTTCTACTAAAGCTATGTTAAAGCTAAGTTCTCTAAAATAAATTAAGTTACTCATTTATATATACAGATTGATGGAAATAACAATGTTCTGCAGAACTGCAATTTAACTTTGCACATCAACACACAATTCATTATCTATAAAGACACAGTATTATGCAGCATTTCAGTGATATGAAAATATCATTGCTGCGCAGCCTGCACATTTAAATTCATATTCTTCGGAACTGTTAAAGGGTCTACTTGATGTCCACACCAACTGAACCCAACTGAAACACACATATTCATCTGGAATTCTCAAATATTTCAGTGAATCTTTCAAAGAAGATATGTGACCAAGTAATTGCTCTGTAGTTTTAATGTATATGACAAAATGATCCTTCAAATGACTGATATATATAATAGCAGTAACATTAGTGCCACACAAACAGACTATAAATGAGGAATATGAATCTAACGTCAAGGCCTACTGTGTGTGCGACAGCCCTGTACAATGAAAGTTAGAGGCTGTGGGTCATGCAAGGCTAATTAATCTAACTGTACTGCGCCATGATCTGTAGAGTCAGGCTCTATTGCACTGTGCATTCATTCAGCCAGATCACCCCAGGAAGTGACATGCATACAGTCACTCATCGCAAACTATCAAGTGCCATTATACACACATGCACTAAAATAGGTCTAAATCAAGGACAATAAATCCTTACAAGCTTCTCTCCTCTCTCTCACTCCTAAGATGGTCTTTTGATTCATTTTTGTTCAGAAGCTTCAACCTTGTGCAACATTATTGCTCTGAGGCTGAAGTAATCTGAGATGAAGTAATATATAGGCCAAAAGTTTATTAACAATGGAGATAAATTAAATGATGTGAGGTGGAATAAATGCGCAACATTTCCACCTTGAACAGGCAGTGTAAAAGGGGCTACTGACTCATGAGAGATATTGGTAATGCTTAATTTGGGTAAATTATTAAATGTTAATGTAATATATTAATAAAAAATCATTTAATGTCACAATTTGCTTTGAAAACAATCTCTGACCAAAACTCCAATTTCAGCATGCTCTTGAACCAGATTGTTTCATAAATTTGATTTATAAACCAAAACAGATAAGAACAGAAAAACCAACCCTTGGCTCCCGTCCACTCAGACTGTAACCAGGAACAAACAGCTATTTTCAAGTGGCTAATGAAGCACAGCATGGGATCAATTACCTTCCTATTCATGGCATACCCTGTCACATGATTAGCCTAAAACAAGAGTCATGAGACATGGATGACTGGATGCAACGAGCGTGCCCACACACTTGCCATGAGATGTGCATCATGGGAAAACTGAGGTGAAGGGCAAAGAGTGGCTTCAACTCAGATGGAACAAAACCAGTGTCATGTCCTCATCTCACTTCTACATCATTATTAACAACCTCAGTCTTCATCTCACAAATGTGTTTCTTTCCAATCTGGACTCTCTGTAGGCAGGCATCTAGATAAAAGCTGATTAAAGGAATACTTTGACATTTTGGTAAATACCCTTACTGGTTTTATTGCCAAAAGTTAAACAAGAAATTCAATACAATTCTCATGTCTGTATAGTAAATAAGAGACTACTGCCAGCAGCTGGTTAGCTTATCTTAAAGATAAAGACTGGAAACTTCTTTAAACACAATGTTTGACATCTGCAAACTCACCCCAAATGTAAGTAATATAAATGTAAATGTAAATTTAAATGTAGGGGAAGTTTCCCTAATAGTATGTGCAGAGTCCCCCAACTGTCACATCATGGCTGAATGAGTCTACATAGTTCTCTTTCAATTACATAAAAAAACAGATTCAAGTTAAGTAGACACTGTTTCACTATATTACAAGAATTTTTAAAAAGGGTTATAATACAGTAGGATCTATTTTGTTTCAATCACATCTCAGCCATGCTCATTTTGCCTGGATTTAAGGTTTGGACAGCCTTGTTTCAAAAATATTTATGTTAAAAAACAACTGAGTTGAGGGGCAAACAGCAGACATCTCATAAAAAAGGAGCATTGTAAAACTATCTTCAGTGATGTGTGTGAGACAACAATGGAGGGATGTAGAAAATGGGGCCAGAAATTCCAGTCTCAGTTACAACAGTGTTCAGCAAAGAACCTGTAGGTCTCATTTATCAACACCTGGTGCATCTTTTAAAAAAAAGAGTGGATTTAGGACTGATTTCTACACTCACTATGTTCCATTTGACAGTGAGGCCCAACGTTTCTCTCAACAGTGTCATGTTGGGAGATACTCTTTGGGGCCAGAGCTACCAGACAGGTGAGAGCACAGTTTGGCCAAATCTCACAGTTGAATGAAAAATTCTCCATGAAGAAGCACCAAAAGCATGTTGATTCAATTTCCACTATTATATAAGTTTTATTTTTACTCAAAGTTTTTATTAACAAAGACTATAAAAGACTAATTTAGACTGGCTTTTCAAACATTTTACACAAACATTGACACTTTGCATTGTAATCTATATCTCAATGCTGTGCTGTGAACCCAGTAAGACGAGCATAGTGCAACATACGTAAAACATGCAATTCTGCTGACACTAGTGTTTGGAGCCAGCATGCAAGAAAGGCTAAAGTTCAATAAATGATCTGCATTGAACCCTTTAAGAGCTCCTTTCAAATGACTTGTGACAGCCATGACTGTTGTCAAAGATGTACAGCGAGGTCCAAAAGTCTGAGGCCACGTTTGGGAAAGTGGTCTCAGACCTCACTATATTTCTAGGTGAACTCAGTAATGGTTTTGGCAAACAGACATTCCCTTCCAACAATTAGACAAGCCAAAGACAATTGCTGACTTGTATTACACTTACAATGCTGAAA